TTTTGTTGTGGTGGCTCCTCTCAGTTTCGCTCTGTCCCTCTCATTCAATTTCTCCCTCTCACCCTGACTCCCTCCCTCTGCTCTCCACCTCCTCCGCCTCTTCCCTCCCATAGGACGGTGTCCTGGGACGCTTGTTAAGAGCGGTGCGCCTGCAGAAGACTCCCATCATAAATCATGTTTATTACTCGGGATAATTTGTTACGTCTCATTACCCACAGAAGTGACGAAAAACCCAACACTAATACCTGGTAACCTGTCAATTTCCCGATTTTTTTTGCGGACAATAACAATGTATTATCCACAGAGAGGCACCTGAATGTAGGATATAAGATTACACCGAATTTAAACAAGATGTGTCAGTGACTGATTACAATGTCTTCTAATATTAATGATGATGATTATGATGATGATGATGGTGATGCTTCCATCTGTAGTTCTTGTTATTGGCCAGAACAGATTCACTGTTAACTTTTATAAAACAGTGAAGATCAGAGGTTTAACTGAAGCTGAAGGATGTATCCAAGCTTTGAACTTCTCACAGCACTAAATACGCCTCACCACTACAGCACCCCTGACCAGTTCGTAGAGTTGAGAAAAGCTTTTGAAGACCCAGGCAGGTTATCTCCACCATCAGGCTAATCTCAGCCAAGCATTGCTGCAGTTTCTGTAATGCTTGTTCAGGCTGGAGCTTGACCACTGTGAGGCTGGAGGATGAATCGCTTCAGGTTAGAGGTCATGGACTGCTAGCTCAGGGGCAGGCACACATGGCTCAAAACTATTATTTATAACAATGTATTATAGCCAACCCTCTAACTTTAATTTGAGTGGTCATCCCGCCTCATAATGTAGCCAAAATCCACCAGACAATAGAAACATCTTTTTACAGGTATAACAATATGAACTGAGTTTGCATTACACAACAATAAGTTAATACTGTTTTTATAGGGACACTGCTTACAGGAAGGAGCAGAAATAATTGGTTGTGAAAAGTAATTTAATTTTTAATACTGCTGGGGACATCTGTCCCACTCATCTGCCAAAACTTAAGCCTGTACAGCGTCAGTTACCTGTGGAGGCTGAATGTAGTCCTGCCAGAAGACTAATTAATTCTAGGAAGATTGTGGTATTCAGTTGAGACATGCTCTAAGATAAAACTTGTGAAGACCTTGTCTAATTGGAAAATTACCAAAGATAATGTTTCCAAAGATAAAGTCCAAGCTACAACAGGCATTTGTAAAATAACTGACACTCCCCAACAATGTTCAGAGAAAAATAAACCAAAATACAATGTGTGTTAAACTGCAAAAAGGGTGAGAAACACACCCATTTTAAAAGCCACAAATCTTTCTTTTATCAAAAGATGCTGTCCCTTATTATTTATTGGAAAACTTAACTCTGAACAACAAATTAATCTGCGTTAAATACCAATGACCTACAGACAGTTAAGAATGTCAATCTAAAATATGCTGATGCTTCTTCATGGACATTACAAATAATCTTAAAATTCTTCAAAAAGGACCTTCTAGGAAAATGAAAGAGAAAAGTTAGATTTATTGAGCAAGTTGTGGGACAGTGATAAGAAAAAACATAGAAAGCGATGAGGGTGAGAGATAGATGGAAGTTGGACAGAAACACCCAGATAACTGGACAGATTGAGGTTGATCTGGTTGGTACACAACAGAGCCCCTGACCTCCCACCTCCTCCCTTCTCAGTACCAGCTTAGCCAGCCCGAGTCAGGGCCACATTCCTAGCAGCTTTTAGCAGATAGTTACTAAGAGTCCAGTGGGTAGTCTGAGCTCTGGGTGAGAAATATTTCCACAGCATGAGCTATGTACCTTTGTCCAACTACGGGACCTGTGTTACTTACAGATAATTGTTCTTTAAAACACACAACAAACAATAAAACAAAGAAAAACCTTGGCTTCAAAGGTACGGTGAGTTCTTACTAATAACATTAACTACATCCATACTGTGGTTTTCCACAGGATTGGCATCAAACATGCATTGATTGAGCCTGAGACCCAACACATAGATTTATATTATTACACACGACATGGCCTTATGCGCAGGAAAATTCAATTTTCAATTCAATTAAAATCAAAGTCAGTCCATTTGTCTCTTGCCAGTAGCTTGTCAATTCTCATTACCCAAGAGGATTTCATAAATCAGACTGCTAATGACTCATGTAAGGCAAACAGATTATCCTTTTTCAAGTTGATGTACACACATACATGTAAAAAAAGTTCTCAGCATGGAGAATGAAGTCAGATCATGCTGGCAGTCTCTTGATCCTGATAATCAATCAGCATAAACCAATAGAGCCACACTACACACTGCTAATGCCTACAAATCATGTGGTAACACCAAGATACTAAATTATACCCCATATGTGTTTGACATGTATTTATGGATGAGCGTAGATGAAGTTTGGCAGAAAATGAATCTATCACAGACTTTGAATTTACCCCTGTTTGAGCTTCAGTTTCTTCTTGTTTTTATTTATTTGTTCTCTAATTCCTCAGAAAGATAGATCATTCTTACAGTTTTGTAATTTGAAGTTTATCCCTGACTGTAATATGGTGTTACAGATTGGAAGGATCTCTCTCTCTCCCTCTGCAGGTCATTCTGTGCTGATAAAATATCTTGGACTTTTCTTATCATCTGATCACTTAGAGGGTGGAAGGTGACGTGAAATAATCTGTCATCACCACATTTTAAGCCTTGTGAGGCATAGTGGAACCTTGTTAATCCTCAAGAGGAGCTGATCAACGCTTAGGATTAGAGACCCTAAAATGGGTTTTCAATTGAGTCTGCCTCCAGTCTGCTCCTTGCGTTGAAGAACATGCCAGAACAGGACAACAGGCCGACTATCAGGAAAAATATGCATGTGAAGTTTCAGAAGGATGAGGAGACTGACTCTTTCAGCTTGCCAGAAATTTATTTATGTATGTTTAAAAGGCAGTTACCTTTTTTTCCTATGCAGTCATTATGAAATAACCACCTTACTAATCATTTCAGATCTTACACTGATTGCTGATGGGCTTGTGGTGTCATTTAGTTGTATATTATGTGATGAACATTGTATTACTTTCTGTCATTGTGATATAATGAGGATTTAAAGATCAGTGTGAATGATGATTGTGTATTTAAGTCTGTGGTTTGTATGTCTGAGTGGTGGAGCCTGACAGTTAATCCATTGTCACTTCATTTCAGAGCCTCAGATAACAACTACAGATTTTTTTATGCACAAAGAGATTCTAAGAAATAGCCAACATCTGTCTGCAATGCGTGTCAAATGTGAAGGTTGGTTCTGCAGCATGATGTGAAATGTGGGTTCTGTCAGTGACTTTGAAACAAGAATTTTCTTTTTCTGAAGCTGGTAAAACCCCTGATCTGTGAAAACACCTCAAGAGAAATGTGATTGTGCCACCCACTGACTGCTCATGATAGTATCTCCATATACCAGACAGCATTTGTTCTTACATAAGAGCTTTAACAAAGCCACATCCGGTGACACAAATCCACCCTGCAATGGGTACTCCGGGTTTTCCGGCCTACAGTACAAGGGAGCACATCAGTGAGCACATCAGACAGTATAAAACTGACTACTTGGTATTTCATCACCATTGCACTTACCTTAGCCAATTATGTTATGGCCTTGTTGAAAGGAGCTAAATTACCATCAGAAGCCAAGCTGAGCAGGGATTTGATTCAGAGCTGCATTATCAGACACATTACTCCACACAGTCAGTTGCTAAACCCTGCTGTAATTAGGTTGCCAAACCAGGGATGTGACCACGAGAAAGCATGTGTAAATTTTTCCTTTTGCACTGGGCCAGTAAGGAGAACTGCCAGTCTGGTGATAATTATAATATTTAGAGATGACCGGAGACCAAGCTAATTAACGTCTAAGGACCATGTCTGTTAAACGAACTGTACAAATAGACTAAATAAACTCAACCGGTGACCACACGCCAGCTCACCCTGCTGTCTACCCTCCTCCTCTCTGTTAGTTTACAGAACAAAACACAATGACTGGGTTTTGATCTCTAAATAACAAGGCACTTATGTTGAAAACTGGTATTTCTTTACACCAAATATGATTCAATCCAGCATTTCTTTGGACTTCCCGTCTGTGTGCAAGGCATTTGAATTCCACTTTTCTTGAAAAAAAAAAAATGCTAGGAAACTCAGGAGCCTAATGAATCAAAGTATTTTTATTTCCAAACTAATTTTTATTTTATTATAGGTGCAGATATTGGGAATGCATGAGAACGTTTAGAATAAGCAAATTATTTCTGCAACATGGTGCCATAATGGCCAGCCCCCCTGGGAATCCATGACGTGTAATGATGAGCGGAAACTCTATAAATGTTTCTAAGAACGTCATTAAGTGGTGCTCAGAAATGCCACATTATGATCTTCAGTATGTCACTGCTCTCAAGCACTCTCTGTGGAGAGTTCATTGTGTGTGGTCCACAGCTGCAGCAACAGTTTTTGCTCTCCTCAATTGGTGCAGCTTGTGGGCTATTCCTTTAGCACTTTCTCTCAATTAACAGTGTTCTCTATTTGCCTCAGAACCCCCAAAACACGTTCCCAGCTCACTCCTTTCAAAATCTTTGCACCCATTCTTTCTCTGTTTTTAAGTCTCCCTCCTGCCCACGGACCCCCAGCTACTCTTTTCCCTTCGTTCCTTTTATTCTCATGAAGTTTGCATTCCACACCTCCTCTGCAGACCGCACACAAAAGAGCAGAAAGCGCCACTCCTGACCTGTGGCAAACATTCCAGTCCTTTAGGCCCATTCACACAGCCAGAATCCCCTATCCTTCTAGTAGCATCAGCCAAAGTCTGTCACTTGTCCAATGCTACTGAATGGAGATGCCACCATCAGGAGGGCCAAACAATTAGGGATACTCAGTCTGATGCACTTGCTGTAAGATGAGGAATGATATTGCAGAAGTTCTTTGTAAAAATAATTGTGAAAAAAAGACAACATGATAATATTTTGAAGTGTAATTATAAACACTTGTTTGTTATGACAAATAGTTGGATGTGCATTTTACAGTTTAGAACAGCATCTCTACCTAATCACACAATCCATCTTTAACTATGATGAGTAAAAACAGACATTGTCAGCTGGAAAAGCAGTGAAAGTTCCAGGAGAACCTGCTCATGTATCTCTATAGTCAGTACACAGGAAATTGACTAATAAGCTATGAAATTAGGTTTAGAGTGGATGGTGGTGTCATTTTCCATGACTTGGACTTTGATAAAGAAGTTACAGATGATTTTGGGCCAGGGCACAGCTGGTGTATGGTCAGGGGTGTCAGCGGGAACAGATGAAAGCTCTGAGGAAGGATGTTGAACAACCGATTGCTGCAAGGAGGGTTACATAAGGCAGGTACACAGGAGCAGCAGAGAAGTGTGTCGTGAAAAAGGGAGGAGGGTTTACAACAAGACATTAAAAGCAGAGAAAGCACGTGGCATGGAAAAGCATGCATGGGCTTGTATTATCCCGTCTTCTTTGTCTCCTTCCTTTTTCTCTGTCTTAGTGCCTCAATCTTCTGAAATTCCACAGCAATAGCTTGGAGGCTGGTAGACATCACTGGCTGCCCAGCACCCCACCTCATCTCCATCCACACCTGTCCACTTTCTCCGGAGGCATAAGGGAAAGCATGCCAATAACACCCTGACCTTACTCCACTGGCTTGCTCCAGACCTTTAAGCACCATGTCCACTGGTGGATAGTTATTTTTTGATTGTCGGGTCAGTGTTGGTGGGCTCGTCTGGGTCAAAGGTTCATGGTAATTTTTTTATTCTCTGTCTGTCCCTGGCCATGACATTTGCTCATACCACCACCTGCTGATCTGCCATAAAAATGCAAAAGGTTACATGCATTAGTGGATTTTTGCACTCACATTAATAGTGTACAGACTCAAAGGCACTCTTATTTATATATAACTATCCCATGCTTTTGGTCTATTGTGCCTTTACACTCAATTGTTGGTTTCTCTAAGATTGTCAGCCAAATGCCTTAAATCTGAAATGTAGCATGTTGTTTTTTACACTGTCAGCTTAAATTCAAAGCTGTTTTATCTGACAATGCAAATTATACTTCTATTATCTCACTGTAAACGTCTGCTTTCCTGTGAGAGAAATGGTTCATAGCTTGGGGAAGTTCTAAACAAGCAGACATCAGCTTTGTGAGACACCAAGAGGAAATTGGGCCTGAACTCTGTGTAAGCTGACAGTCTGCTCTCTTTTGTCAGCATAATAGACCGTTTATCACAAGCAGTGATGCTTGGAAGTCTATGAGTTCTCATTATGTTCTCTCAGATGTTGAGTTATGCGTCACATGCTCGACGTTGCTTTTTCGCAGTAAAGCTATACTTTACTCCATCAGCATGCTAGCTGCTCGCTGACCCTTAATGGATCGTGCCAGGACTCCACTCATTGTGAAAATATGTTGTCTCCCTTTGGGAGAATCTTATGTTATGACTTCAGGGAGGCAGCATTTAGTGTCTATGGTCTTCGCTCTCTGTAACAGCCTGCCAAAGGAGCTGAAGGCATCACAATCTGTTAACATCTTTAAAATCCTAGTAGCACATACCATTTTATCTTAGCTTTCCCTTTATCTATTTTATTTTAAGCTACCCTTCCTCCTGTGCTACACTGGTCTCTCTGTTCTTTTCTTAAGTACTATATTATAATTACCTATTATATTTTTATTTTGACTGTTATTTTGGATTTTCTTTGTATTTCTGTATTTCATACTATTGTTAAGCACCTTCTATTTTGTACAAAAGGCGCTATATGAATGCTCTGGGTGATGGAGGCCTGTCGATAAGAGGAGACAAACAGGCCAGTAAAATTAGGAACCTGTCCCTGTCCTCTCTCACTGGTCCCTCTGCTGGTCTCTGTGTGTTCAGGTGAGTGTATCTGCTTTCCATATTCTCTTTGTATTGTCCTTATAGTGACACTGATGCTTCAGAACATGTTAAAATGGGATTGTGGTTAAATAGGTTAACCAGGGAGGATTAAAACAAAAATGTTTTGTGTTAAAAAATTATCATGAATTTAGCTGCATCACTGGATAAATAATCAGCTTTCAAAAGCTGGGGAGAAAAAAATCAATGAAGAATACACTCAAACTTGTGCATCATGTGTACTTTATAGCTATGTATCAGACTAATTACTATATTAACTAATTATTGTAAAATGTCATACCAGAGGACTGCCTTATCTTCCTGAACTCTGTCCAAATGAGTAATAATCCCAGTTGAATTCAGTTCTTAACTAACAGAAACATATGTATAATTATTCCTTGGTTTAATAAATGCATTAAAAACATCAATATTTTAGAGAATTAAAATGCTTTATCAAAAAGCAAGAGAACTGACATTAAATAAAATGACATGGCATTTGAGATGCAAAACCAGTTTAAGTGAGTTATAAGATAGGGACATAAATCACTGATTACTTTCAACAAATCGCTTACCCACTAATCTATCCAGATTGCTCTTTGGACCATCATCCCTGCTTGGGGGTTATGAGAATCAGCAGAAGAGTAAACCATACATTTATAGTCCTCTACCATATCTGTTTACAGTTTGCATGTGGTTGCATTTCATTTAGCAATATGCCAAAACATGGCAGACTCTTACACTATGACCTTTTATCAGGGAAAAAGAAGCAAATCTGCTGTGAGAACTTATCAGAGGCACTTTGACCCCTTACAGCATCAGCCAAGAATAGGGTCCACTAATCACCATAACAAACCCTTGCTAATGGCATCACCGACAAACCAAACTGAAACATAGCTGATAACAACTGAAGCCAATCTTTTTATATTTAGTTAATAATTGGATTAGCATTATTTATTTGATGAGGTGGCATGTATTTAAGGAGCCTGAGTGCTTCTTATGTGTGCTGAACATTTCCTTGCCACCAGATGGCAGCCCAATGCAGCGCATTACCTAAGCTACCATAAACACTACATTTCCAAATTAATATAAGCATAGGATTTATAAAAAAATCAACTAGAGAAACAACACTGAGCGCTTGATTTAGGTTAAGATATAATCTGGGCAACAACAACAACAATAACAGCTACAATAATAATAATTATAATAATAATAACGGACTATGTTTAGCCCAAATACTTGATAGATAATTTAAAATATGGTGTTGCAATTATTTACTTATTCAAATTTAATTAAATTTAATCTAATTAAAGGTATTTATCAAGTATTAAATAATAGTAAAAAGAAAAGGTTAGGTACTACCATAACATATATAGGCTAAAGGTAAAACTACACGTCTTAAAAATACTAACTGTAATATAGTAGTGAACCAGAAATATCATTAGGTATGAACAAAACATTATATAAATACAGTATGAATATTACAGTTATTTGTTTTTGGGGTCACCAGCTCAGAAATCAAATAAGCACGGCCCCCTCTACAACACGCACGTGCGCGCATGCACGGCCACACATTTTTAAGGAATTAACTTCGTTTTCAGGGCAGGCGGCACCTATCAAGTTTAAAACCTTGTCTGCAAGCGGTGTCTGCAATGCCACGTCTTTTTTTTTTTTTTTTTTTTTTGGTTACTGATTTTATTGAACATGTGACTGAATTAGACGCTCACATGGCTGCTGTGGCTGCATGATCGGCTTTGGAGCTTTAAAGTCCGGTGATCGGTAGCTCCCTCGGCAGCGACCACCGCAGAGGACCGCTGAAAAACGCAGCGCCTACCCGGACAAATCATGGCGAACAGTGGGCAGAAAGTTGTGTTGATCACCGGCTGCTCCTCCGGCATCGGCTTGCGAATCGCCGTCACGCTGGCCAAAGATGAAAAGAAGCGTTACCATGGTAAATGCGCTTTCTTCTATATTGTATTGTTTCTTTGATCGGACCTAATAGTAGCAGACCATAATAGTGTGGTTCGCTTGAAAACCTATTCCGTGTTTACTTTCCCCTGCAGAGCTCTGCTATTGCTCCAACCTTCCTTTACGCACAAAGTTCGGTTGAGTTTCATGCGCAACACTCCGTCTTAACGCAAATAAGCGATTTAGTGTAGTGTCCACTGAAATAGCTCACCCTAATGATAGCGGGTCCATATCCTTTTGTAAAGACTGGGATCCAGTCGCCCCTTTGGTTCAACTATTATCATATGAAAGCGCAGTTTCCAGGGGTAGGGCTCTGCGAGGATGCCGCTTGCCAGGCGGAATCATAAAAGGAGTCTTGTCAGTTCTCTTTCAAGTGACTTCTCCTGCACAAAGCCCCCTTTTATCGCAGTGAATTGTAGACCGCCTGCTCCGTTTTAGTGCCGTGTCTAATGTGCCTATAGTCCCCTCACTGGAGCGAGTGCTGAAAGGGGGACAAAGTTTGAGACCTGTACAAGCGAAGGTTCACTCCAAAGCAAGGGCCTTGTTTGAAGTCTTCATTGGTGCACAGTGGAGTAGAGTGTCCCACTTTGACATTGTTGGTCTCTGCATTTCCTCTCCTGCATCCCAGCCATGATTAATGTCACTGTAGGAATTGGAGATCCAAAACCTTTACATGTCATGGAGCCTCAGACAGAATTACATTAGGCCACCGTCCCACCCCCACCCCTGTTGGGAAGAGTTTGCCTTCAAGACCCCCCTTGTTGTAACATCTGACTTCATGCAGAATTAGGCTAGATAATTGGCTGTAGGCCTAGAGTGAGTGAGTTCACAGTGAAGCCCATGATTTCAGTAGTCATCTTATACATTCTCTTATTAAACTAATTTAGCAAAGTTAAGTCATTACTGCTGTCCGTTTGCCACTTCATGAACCACTATGCAGGGGTTGTTAGTTAATGTTTTCTCCACCAGAATCTTATGTAATGTATTACAGTGAAATGGATTAGCAAAACAATAGTGAGCAGATTGTTTCCCCAAATGTGACCTGCTTTCAATAAGGCCACCTCTGAGAAATCGAGCCGATCTGCTCTTTTCCCAGGGTCTTTAGGAAATCCAACAGAGATTAAGTATTGCATTGTGCATAAAGTAATAATTAGTTGCAGTAACATGCACCAAACTCAGAGAAACCCCAAAACGACCTCTGTGTGTGCAATGCAATGTGGTTCATTCAAGAATGTTTAAGCAGCCCAAGAGTAATTCCTGCCGGAGCCAGAGGAACAATGGTTCTCTTGTTCATTTCTCTACCAATACGCACATCTCTTTCATGGACACACAGTTTTCAAATCATAAGATTAAGTTTAATTAGACTTCATGCGACATCATTAATGTATAGTGTGTATTTGACTACCTGCAAAGACACAAATTTGTTGTGTGACTGCAAAATTCTCAAAGAAAATGGGCCTAGTTTCATTACTATACATCATGATATGTTAAATGTTACATCTGTAACACTGCATGGCAGTGCAAAACATTTATAGCATAGCAATCACTTTAATCTTATCCAACCCTGTCTCTGTTCAGACAAGAATCAGGTGAGGGTTTGCCTTATCTGTCAGGTAGGTTCAGATGAATGTGTGAATAAGAGGTTTTTTACTCCGATTGATTGTGCAACAGCACTGTCTCTCTTTTCTCTGCCAGATAATGTCTGTCAGCAAAGTGTTAGCACAAACACATAATATGGAAGACGCCGTGAAAGCCAAGTCAACACGGTGCTGATAGCTGCTGTCACTGGCCGTGATAGATTCATGTGCTTTATGTAGGTTAATGTTGCCCAGTGTGTAAAGTTCAAAGGAAATCAATTCTGTGTTCTGTAAACTGACAGGCGTGGTCATTGCTAGGAACTCTGACCCACACATCTGACTCTGTCACAACTGTGTGTGTGTGTTACAGAAGTTTAACACAAACACACACACACACAGTCCTTTTCGCAGTCCTGCGAGAGAAAAAAATATTATTCATGATTTTCTTAATGATTCCCTATCAAATGATGAATAGTGAAAGTACATCGTGTGTGAAGTTGTGTCACGGTACGAGTCTGTAAGAACCATTTTCTGAGACTCTTTGAAAAGTTTGAAGCCACATCATGCAAGTAAAATAATATTTTCCACTTCTCTGTCTCACCGTATCAGTCATTGCTACCATGCGGGACCTGAAGAAAAAGGACAAGCTAGTGGAGGCAGCAGGAGAGGCATATGGCAATACCTTGATGTTGCTTCCGCTAGATGTGTGCAGTGACGAGTCCGTCAAGCAGTGCGTCAACAATGTTAAGGACCGCCATATTGATATCCTGAGTGAGTGGGAGACACTAACTCCAATTTGACCACTTCCCCAGCTTTGAATGACATGGTTTTTTGATCTATCCCCTGTGTGTGGATATGACTGTATTTTGTTTTGTTTCTTTTATTATATTCTTTAGAACAGATGTTTTAGTGTGTAATTATGTACTCTATGGCCTTATTTCATTTCAAATCTGTGTGTAAGAATGATAACCAAATGCAAAGAATACTAATCCCCAAACTACCTGCTATAGAAGCCTCTAGAAGAAAAAGAGTGACAATAAAAAACTTAACTATAATAATATTACAAGTTTAGACAATATTTTTGATTTTTAACTGAGATGTTTTGCAATGGTGGTCACTCTCATGTAGCAGTGTGCCCCATGGTTTTGCTGTTGTAGGTGGGGGGAGGAGATTGGAAGAGTCTTGAAATTCCAGTGGGAAGATTCTGCTCCAAAACAGAAAGGACCACCATACTGATCTTCTGAGTGTGTGAAACATAGCTGAAACTATGTCTGCAGCTCTCGCTGACAGTGACACCTTCTTTTGCTTGTTCCTTTTCTCAGAGGGGGCCCTTTAAGCTAAAACAAAGCCAAAGATGTATTTTGAAATCTACAAATCACCTAGCACATCCCCAACAATTCATTGGGTTCTTGGTATTGATCAATACATCACTCAAAAAAACTTAAGTCATTTTATGGTCATCTTGTGTTACAGGAGAGGGCATTGCATATTTCTAGAGTAATAACTCATGAATAGGTTACTCTTCTCAGTTCTTGTGTTTAAACCTTTAGTCTGGATAAAGGTTATATTTATAAACTTCCTCCATCTTGCTGAATATCCAGCATTACATCCCCCTTCACCTAATTTCTCAATAACCAGATGCCCTTCAACCTGGACTTGTGTTACGTCACACTTCTCTGTTGTTGTTGCACACTGACATCTGGTGGCATTATCAAGTAATACCATCTGTAGTCTATTAATTAAGGATCTATTCTTGGAGAAAGGCCAAGTGAACAGTGTAAACTATACTGATATCACTTTATATTAAGTCAACAGTATCTTAACCATTTCAAAGGTTTGATTATTGCAGTGTTGGCGATACAACATACCTGTGTCTGTGTGTTTCCTGTCAGTCAACAATGCAGGTGTGGGCTTGCTGGGACCTGTGGAAAGCATCAGCATCGAGGAAATGAAAAGAGTATTTGAGACCAACTTCTTTGGTGTCGTTCGCATGATCAAAGAAGTGATGCCAGACATGAAGAAGAGGCGTTCAGGACACATTGTTGTCATGAGCAGTGTCATGGGTCTTCAGGGTATGATTTGTATGATTTCAACAATCCAAAATAAAATAAAAAACAAAATCCACTCAAATTGGATCCAGGAACACAGGAAAAGATATAAGATTAGATTGTAATAAGACTGACCTGTAGACAGGAGTACTGTAGTCATATTTTAAACCAGTTTAGTAAACTATATCATCACATTTGCAGTTATAAAAATACATTTGATATAAATCTGACATCTTTAGTTACAGTAGGGTAAGAGTCATTTGAAAAGCAAGAGAAGTGGATTATTAATTTCTGCAAGCTACAAGAAAACATACGCTGATCATCGGAGGCGACCTACAAATGTTTTGGACAGACCAGTGCAGAGTCTGAAGTCTTCACTCATTTTGAGCTGTAAATCATTCAGTTTGTTCCATGCTTTAGCATCTATTAAATTAGTGAAGACAGAAATCAGCGTTTATAGTACCATGCAAAACATTTGCAGTGTCGTTTAACAAACTTCAGATTAATACATACCAGAAGCATTTGTTTAAATGCTGAAAGAAAATATTGTAGCTCTTTTTTTATTAGCTTGATTTAATCTGCTAAAATGAGAATGCTTGACTGGAAATATTTCTGTATTTAAAAACTTAACTTTATTATATTTATTAGTTGTCGGCCTATGCCATACATTGCCAGCAACAGCAATCTGTTGACCTGAGCCAAATAGCAAGCAGTTGCAAAGAAGTTTTGTTTGTTTTAATGTCTTTGAAGTGCCAGATGTGGGGTTTACCAGAACAACTTAAAGAGTATCTGATAAATTGTCAATCACAAGCAGGGAAGCTAAACTGACTTACACATTCTGTCTGGCACTTGTACTTGTATGTGATATCTGTTACTTGGTTGATTCAAATAGCTTATTCCTTTATGTTGAATTGAATTGAATTTATTTCAGGATAACATAAAATTTGTATGTGTAAATGATGTGTGAGTCATGTCTGCTGTTAACTGAGTACTCTGAAATTAGATAATACAATGCAGTGATGCCGTCTTTTTGTCCCTCTTTTGTTTGTTTAGGAGTAGTGTTCAATGATGTTTACACTGCCTCCAAATTTGCGATGGAAGGTTTCTGTGAGAGTATGGCAGTACAACTGATGAAGTTCAATATCCGGTAGATTACCCTCTTTCCTCTGTTCTTCCGTCACATCTGTCTTTCATTTGTACTGTACCTACATGCTCCCTCGTGGGCCTTTCTGCATCTGACTACCCACACAGGTTGTCCATGATTGAGCCTGGCCCGGTGCACACTGAGTTTGAGACAAAGATGATGGAGGATGTGGCCAAGATGGAGTATCCAGGAGTAGATGCAGACACAGTTCGTTATTTTAAAGACGTTTACCTGCCATCATCCATAGATATATTTGAAGCCATGGGCCAGATGCCAGAAGACATTGCCAAAGTAAGGGAGCAGGTTTCTCACTCACATTACACTGAGTCTATCTCAGGATTCAAAAGTCATTGTTGTGTTTCTCAGGATTCAAGAGTCATTGTTGTGTTTCTCTGATCACTAACTGTTATAAATGCTCAACCAGTCTACATAGCAATGAAATCAGTCAAAATGTTTTTTTTGCTTCTCATCTCTCCAGTGTATTAAAAAGGTTATTGAGTCAAGCAGCCCTCGCTTCAGGAATCTGACGAACAGCCTCTACACACCCATTGTGGCCTTAAAGTATGCAGATGAAACTGGGGGCCTGTCTGTCAACACCTTCTACAACCTGCTCTTCAATTTCGGCCCTCTCATGCACATCACCATGAGCATCCTCAAGTGCCTGACATGCAGCTGCTTGCGTCGACGCACCATTTCCCCTAACTGAAGAGAGTGTCCAGTCTTGCCTCTTACCCTCCCAGTTTGTTGATCCACCCAGTTTCAACCGCCTTTTCCTGAGGTTTTGGACTAAGCAAGTAGAGCAGAGCCAGTAAGCCTGGAGCCAGGAGGTGTCTTTTAGTTCAAAGACACTACCATGATAAGCTTTGCCAGACAACATGCACATTTGCACAAGATGTTGTATGCAGGATGACCTCATGTATTAAGGAATACACACACAGAAGCATACATACACAAAAACACACAGAAATACAAGCAACACACACATTTGATTATTGTACATATTATTAAAGCAAAGGCCATGCCTTCATCATGTCTAGGTGGGTGGAGCTGAACAGATATAGTTTAAGTGGTTAGAAGTCTATATCATTTTAAAGAGAACACACAGACAGGACTTGAGATACGAGCCCCATGCGCAGATAAAGCACAAAAAATGAACTCAGTTACAGTGAGAAGCAATAAAATTCTAGAGAAATAATAATGCTGTAACGTGTAGCCTAGATAACTATAGAGTCAGGCTCACCAGAGTTATAACATGTATGCCAGAGACAGAAAGAATATATCTGCTTTTTTTGTGTTTGCCTTAACATAGTGTTCTCATGGTCATAACTGCTGTTAAATCATATTTTTAATCTTCTGATGAACTGAATGTTTTTGGTTTTTAAGTGTTTGTGAAGGGGTGGGTCAGATATTTTAAATCTAGCATCTTGATTTAGAAATAAAAATATTTCTGATTTACCCTCAAAGGTATATATTTTGTTTGTTTTAAGTTATCACTAACAAAATGAGACCATTTTGACTGGTAATGCTTATTGATACTAAATGCTGTGCAAGGCTTTTCTGTGTGCAAGATTCCTTGGGTACCAAGAGGGGGCAGTATTTCACAGTTTTTTTTTCAATGGCAGCAAACCTGTAGATTTCACAGTATCTGAAGCAAGTTGGAGCCATAGTGTAAAGGAATGTGGTAGATTTGTTTCATTCATTGGATTTATAACACTACATGCAACCCAACATCAGTCCATACTGATTATTTTGAAAGGCTAATTTAGAATGGTAGATATTCCTTAGTGGTAAGCATTATATAAAGTTTCCATGTAACAACAGGATCTATTGGAACTGTATTCAGGTAAATACACACAATGCCTCTGTGCATATACACACACATTATCATGTTTTGTGTGTGTGTGTATGTGCGTGTGTGTGTTGTATGAGCATGCCTATGGGCCAAGTGATGTGTTGATGGATATAAAGAGGTCATGGCCTGCTCCCCATCAAAACCCCTCCCTCTAACACCCACCGGTCTCACACACACACCCTGCTTTGTGCCCTGTGAGAGAATGTGACCTGGTTCCCATCCCTGAGGAGGGGTGAACCCTAATGACGGCCTCCTCAGACACAGTGCACGGCCCTGAGCCTCCCTCTCCAGCTGCCCCCCTCAGCCCATTGGGCCGGGACCTCCTGGTCCACACTGGGAGAGGCCTGCGGTCTGACCTTGATTGCCTGGCAGAGGTTGTCCTTTCATTCTGCCATGCTCTGGCTGGTTACACTCACCTGGTCCGACTGCATGGAGCGCATCATCAGAGTACAGTGCAAGTATGTAGTGTAGTTTCTGTGAAGTGTACAATGAGCGCAGAGCCTCAGCCCTGTGTATGTGTCTTCATCAGAGGCGACAGCTCCGCACAATGGAACAAAGA